TGATACGGGGTGCGGATGGCAGATCCCAGGCCATGGGATTAGGATACACTCTAAGAAGGAGATATATTATCATTGCAACATTTACTCCGTGGCGTTGAGATATTTTGTGCATCGTATCTGCGGCGCCCGACAAGCGCATCTAGAAATTCTAACACTGTGCATTTAAAGTTTGCTGATCTTGGGCAGATAGCTGAGCTTGCGACGACAAAGATTTAAAAGCACAAGGTGCTTGAAGAATTCGTGGGGGCATAAAAAATGTGCTCAGATCTATACCGAAATATATGATCTAGTTTAACTTTTGCACGATAAGGTATCAACACAAAGTATCGCAACGAAGCACTCCACACCAATCAATACGTTAATTGGTTTCGAGTATCTCCCTTGTGAAGATGCGTCTTGCGCCTGTATTGCTACAAAAGCCCCCATGCGCCTTTCACCTTTAATTAAATTTAGGAAAAATGGTTTTGTGTCCTTTTTTGAATCAAACATGAGATTATAAGTTTTGCTTCAAGAGAAGAAAAACTACATTTCTGCATCATATTCGATTTTTTTCTATCAAGGTCGATCCTCAATGACATACAACTGACAAAGCTCGAGTATATCAGTGTCAAACAAGCCACAAAAAGAACATTATCAAGAATAATTGGTACTCAAGTTTTTTTGTTGAACGTAAGAACGGCATTGTTTGGGATATTTACCATAAATTATCCCAACATTTAATTTAGTGTACATAGCTTGATTTCACAGCGTGCGATTCAAAAATGTGCTAATTCTCATGAGTTTGCTTTCTTTTTGATTTTAGTAAATTACCATAAAAAAGATTACAGAAATTTTCGTGATTTACTTGCTTCACAGAATTATTCTGCTCACTGGTGGAGACAACGAGCGGCTCTAAGAACAATTATTTATTTGTTACGTCACAGGCACCCCTTACATATTGTCAATTTTTATCAGAGTCAATTGGCAGTAAATTTTATTTACCAGAACGCGTCTCCCATCATCTTGTAAGCAATTTGCTAGGTGAAATCGACACATTTCATCTTCACAGTACAGCTCCTGTGATAGATGATTTGGTGCTCCGTCGTCTGTTGCGTGCATCAAATTGAGTTGTAGATTAAAGTGTTGGCTTTTTTTTACCATTCGTGTCTGGTTATAAGCTTAGTCGACACGTGCAATTAGTTTGTCGCGCTTGAAAAAAAAAACGTGATAATTCAAAATGCAAACAAATCATGTATCGTCCTATATTATGCATGATTGTTCACGTAGCTTCGGAAACACAAATTTTACCTT